GCAGGGACAGAAAGCTCTCGGATCTCATCAACAATATCTTAATTTTTGTTCCGAAGATGAACAAAGGTCTTACAGGTTTGGAACGACATGAGGGTGAGTGATTAATGAAAGAATTTACATTTAGGGTGAACTATCCCTTGAATTTTTTTTATTCTGTGGTGGAAAGATGCGTTCAGATTAAGTGTGTTTCTCTTACTCCATACGGTGAGGGAGGCGCTGGCGTTGATCGCTCCTTCTGAGTTAGCGGCGTAGCAGGTGTACATCCCCGTGTCCTGCAGCACCACCGGTTGAATCTGCAGACCGCCGGACTCCAGCAAGGTGAAACGTGGAATTTGCACCGAACCGCTGGCGAGGATCTGAGTATCTGATGCGCATACATATGCAAACAAACACACACACACACACACACACACCAGTTAGCTCAACATCTCGCATCTGCTTCCATATAAGGAATTAATAGAACATCACTATGCATGGTGTCGGAGTCCAGGATGATTTTATTACAAGCTTAAAGGTTTCCCAGAGGAAAATCCTCCTTAAACCGCATGCAGAGCTCTCTACCTTGTTAGGGGCCGCTATTAAATATGCCGCTTCATAATTGGGAATGCTATGGAAACGACTTCATGAATATCGCCAGAACAGTTGTAGAATATAATGGAACTTTTTTTTGTTACTCTTGCATGAAATGATCTTTTGTGTTGCCAATCGGCTGCAACAAAGACATCTTAATGGCTTCCTGTGAAGCACAAAACACACAACCTCATACATCAATTTATGCCTCCGCTGCAGTAACAAAGCGGAGAGGATGCCTGCGATCTGGCTGTAATCAGTAAAATATAGCACTAGTACACATAACAAAACAGCAGGGCCGAGATGGACTCATGTTAATACTGACATTACTTCTGCACATTGATGCTCCGTTTCAAAACCTAGCTAACTGCCTGCGGAGACAACATTTTAGGTAAGCATAGATGCTCTTAATGTAAAGACTGTTCCAAAAAGTAGTCAACCTAATTATGCTGCCTCCTAATAAATCTAATTTTGACCAAATTCTAAAATAGGATTGAAAGTATCCTTAATGCAGAATGCATTGTGACAACAACGGAGGGGGAAAAGTCCAAAACGGAATACAAGATCGATGAAATTGTTGTTACAGATAAACTTAAAATGCATTATGTATTGTAAACACTTTTACATTGCTAAAAAAGACTTCTATTTTAAACAAATGCTGTTCTATTTAATAAAAAATCCTGAAAAATTGTATCAAAGTTTCCACAAAAATATTAAGCAGCACAACTGTTTTCAACTGATTTTTAAGAATGTTATGTTTGTTCAGCAGCAAATCAGCGTATTAGAATGATTTCGGAAGGATCACGTGACACTGAAGACTGAATAGAAAAGTTATTTTAAACTGTACTAATATTTCACAATATTACTGATTTTGCTGTATTTAGATATTATGATTGATGAGCATAAGAAACATTTTTTAAAACATGTTACTGAAACCAAACCTTTAAACATTAGTGTATTTTATGCAAAGGCAATCCTAGAAAAGATTCTGATGAAATAATTAAAATGTAAATGAACTTATATTTTATTTAGTGCTGAAAAGCATTGACACAAACTGTAATATTCAGGTATGCAGTGTACTTTCATGCCATTCACTTGCCAACATCAACCTCAAGTGAACTCAGTTGTGAGTCAAGTGTCCCCTACACAGGCAGCATGTGGATTTCCAGCCTATGTAGAAGGCTGCAAATTGTATGGATCCAAGACTGAATAGTTAAAACGCTCCAATGTAGGCAGCAGGCAAGAAGGCAACTCTATAGGTTTTGGAGCAGAGCTCAGATGTGATTTATGCCTTGTTCATTAGTGAATTACAAATGCTAAAACGGCTCAAATCAAACATCACTTTGCACTAGCTTTACCTCTCTTCCAGATGATGGCAGGTTTAGGGGCCCCAGATACCTGACAGGTGAACGTGGCCACCGCTCCATCTGTGACAGTGATGTCGACCGGCGCCGCGGTGAAGGCCGGAGCCATACCTGCAAAACACACAGTCACAGTTTTTAATCAGGAAGAGAAAACGCCACATCCGTTCAGTGGCCCCTCATTCACGCTTAATGCAGTCCGCCCACACACCCCCACAGGAACACGCAAATTATTACAAGAGGCCAAACACCAGCCAGTAAATTGTATTAAAACAATGTTATGTCCATCAAAACACTACTGATGCTTTTTATTGCGATGCGGGACATGTCTGCAAATTTGTGTTTCAAATCAGAGACGGTAAACAACAAGCATGAATCTAATTATACTGTTCTGATTGGGTGCCCAGTGTGGCATTGTGGAGTTGCTAGGTCATTTTTAATAGGCAGAGATGTGTAAATGAACAGGTATTTCTATTTGGAAAAGTAAAACATACTGCTGTTTGAGAGCAAAAGATCGCTGTTTGGATGCATTGTTGAATATGTTCCATATTCATTTGGAACAGTAGAGACAGAAATATAAAACCCATTACAGCTTGCTTTCCAATTGCTTTACATCATTTTTATCACATGAATACTGATGCCACGCCGGTAAGGCTGGGCAGTATAACCAAAATTGTATATTATGCTACGAGTAATTTTTTTTTTTTATCATAGTCACAGTATATAATCACAGTCTAGTATTTTTTTCCAGACTGACCAGTATTTCTATGACTAATACAGATACAGATTATTGCAACCAAGGCTCATTGGAAAAACTTGCTTCTACCTACAGAACAAAATATCTGCAAAACTTCATAAACCTATCTACAATTTACAGCAGTTTCCAGCTAAAATTAAAACTACAGATCATTGATTAATAAAGACTTAATTTCGTGCAGTCCCTAGTACAATATTAAGTCATAACCTGACAAAGCTTTTACCATAGTGCATTAATAGTAAACTAATACATTTTTGCCATTGCATCACATAAACAGCTCCACATGTGTGGCTTTTCTGACTTGTTCAGTTGGTCTCCTGGTACATAACTGCACTTGAAATGCAGAGTGCTATAAAAGACATGAGTCACGACAAAAAGAGCTCAAAGACTTGTAGAAGCAATCTAAAATGGCCTGGTTGGTTAAGCAAATGCATTTTTACCTCATGTTTGCATTTTTAAAAACTACTGCAATACAGTACATACAACAACCAACGTAATAACACTGCAACAACCACTGCCAGATTCACATATATCTGTTTTGGATAAAACTGAGCACGCTTTTATTATCGGACATCTCATTTTAAATATTCTGCAAAATGTGCAAGAAGCAACGAACAGCAAATGCATTTTTACCTCATGTTTGCATTTTTTAAACTACTGCAATACAGTACATACAACAACCAACGTAATAACACTGCAACAACCACTGCCAGATTCACATATATCTGTTTTGGATAAAACTGAGCACGCTTTTATTATCGGACATCTCATTTTAAATATTCTGCAAAATGTGCAAGAAGCAACGAAATACCATTTTGCAAAAAAAAAAAAATTGTTAAATGAACCTCTAGATCTCTTACTTGCATGTATTATGAAGGCATCTCAGCACTATCTTTGCTAGAGCACTTGAACTGTACATCTTGACACAATGTTCGACACTGAAAAATCTGAGGTAGTATGACATTGAAAATCAACACTTTTTAATGCTGCAGTGTTTTTTACGGTGACCCCGTTCACAGGCTCTCTGGGGAGATAAAGGCCTGGTGAGTGATTACATATCACACTAGCATTCATCCACTGTACTTTTCCTTGAACACTTTAGCATGAAACAGATCTATACAGGAATAATATAGCCAGCAGAAGAACTAACACAGCTTTGATTGAACACTCAATGAGCGAGTCTAGATATGCACAATCAATATGCAAGAGAGAAGAAGCCAGATTCCATGCGAGATCTTCAGCAATTGCTTTTTTTAATAACTTAAAACTTTCTTTGAGACCTGAAATGAATTGTTTATCTTCATTAAAGGGTCCTTATTCTGTTTTATTTTTATTACTTTAAAGTTCAGCTTATTAGTGAGGGTTTTGTGATCTAAAACGGTATAAGTTTTTTTTTTTTTTTGAACACACCCTGAAGACTGTAAAACGTTTCCTTTTAGACAAAATATTGCTCTTTTTAATGACGTAGCTTCATTCCCAAAAATGGCCTGTACAATCACAGACAATCGGATGATTCAAAGGTCAATACAGCTGGAAGTTAAAATCATTACGGCAATCTACATGCAGTAAATATGTGCAGTCGGGGCTGTGGTAATTATCTGTGTGATGAGAGTGCTCCTCTGAGGGGGTCTTAATGTCCTCATGTACGGATCAGGGCAGTGCCCTGACAAACACTACGATGTAATCAACTCCAGACAGGCCTCTCCACAGGGAGACGTTGTGTCTCTTATGGAACGGAGTGAGAATCACACAACCGTAGATTAGGAACAACACATCTGTCACGGCGGGGAACTGCTGTACAACGGCTGAGAGAAGGTGCACTTTGCAGCTGGCCACATCTAATACCCTTGACAATGTCTCGATTGTTTGTGTGTCAATAATTAGTAGCATCGAGTCTGGAAAGCGTGCGATAAAGAATGCATGACGCCCCGCAGGCCCGCCTCGGGGTCAGACTCACTAGTGATGTCCAGGTAAGTGTGGACCTGAGCCTCTCCGGCCGAGTTCCTGGCGAAGCACTGGAAGATTCCGGCATCGACGGGCTGTAGCTTCCTGACTTGAAGGCCCATGCTGGAGGTGACCTTGTAGCGGGGGTTGTTGAGTTTACTGAGGGGCACGGCATCCTTATACCACTCCAGCTTTGGCATGGGCACCCCTGGGAATTAAAAGCACAACATGATAGGTCACTATGATGGTCAGATGAAGGTAGGAATTGAACAACTGGGTCCAGAATTTTTCAATAAAACTTTAAATGAAACCTGGAAATAAAATGAAATTTTTTTTTAAAGAAAAGTGTTTAATAATTTGAAATGCTTTTTTTTTTTTTTTAAAGGTCAGAAAGTTATAGAAAGTAAAAAAAGAAAAAAAATATATATAAAAATTTAAATTACGTATATAAATACATTACATGTATACAAATTTTAAGTTAAAAATAAAGTCAAAAGCCAATAAATATTTTCACATTATGGCTGATCACAGACAAAAGGCAGACATTAAAACAGCATATTATTTGTCTAAATAAATTAATAATGATAACTAAATTTAAATCTATTTACATGTCCATTTAAAGGTGAATTTAGGAATCACAACATTATAACGTACAATATAAACAATGGATATCCATTTTGAGATTTACTAAAGATATTTAACAGGATAACTAAATTTTAAAGGTACATTTTAAAAATAATCGCAGTGTAACAATAGAGGAATTTAGTATTAAATATCAAATATTCAATACCTACTAAAACCGACAGACATAGATAGATAGATAGATAGATAGAATCCAAAGCTAAGCTAATTGCTAAAGCCTCCTAGTATTGTTGGTCTATTGTCTGAGCCGACACTACATTAAATAAGCTTCCCAAGTTCAGTGAATCCATTTTGCCAAAGTGAAATTACACTACGTTTATCCCCATTCTTGTTTTTGGAAGCTCAGGCCTGTGCGGTATGAAGCCACATGCACCGCCCTGGTCTAAACACACTTTATTATACACACACTCATAGGTCTAATTTTGAAAATGCTGGCTGCACCCTTTGTAGGATATAAAAAAGATGAAGTGTCAAGTGGAAATGAGATGATCTGAGGCCTTAAGCCTCCAAACAGATTCGGCTAGCACGTTTCTAAGAATATTCCAGCAGCTTGGAAAAGCGCACTCTCGGGGGGAATGATCTAAGTAACAGCTGAAAGAGCTAGACAGAGAAAATCATCACTCGCTGTGGCTCTCGTCTGCATCAAGAGAAGGCCACCAGATTGTATTATTCAAACTCATTTAGTGCTCTTCGCCTGTGGTTAACGGCTGTATCAAGCTCCACTCGGCAGCAAACAGCCGCAGACTTTGCCGTGTAAATTTTCCGAGACTTATCAAAAGAGCGAGGGGCTCTGGGCATGTGTTATAGTCTTTTCCTTGATCCTCGAGAGCTGAAGACTTCTGATTCTGCTCTGGAGAGATATAACTTCTCAAAACAAAAGGATTCCTTTCAATCCAGCCACATAAAAAAAGTGAGAACGGTCCCAGAAGCAGCACATAAGAGAGGTAATGGATTGATTCCACTTTCCACTCTTGAGGATACGCCGGGGTGACTCGCTTGTTTTTATTTCTCGCAGCCCATCTGATGCTGAGGGATCATTTTTACCCCTCGCTGAAATTGCAGCTGAGCCGAGCCTGAACCTCAATGGACAAATATAAGTACGGTTATAACAGTTGGGCTGACTTTCCATTCCAGCACTATTAGAAAGCTAGAGAATATTTCTGGCAGAAAACCAATACCATTTCATCGCCCATTTTTCCACTCTATAATGATAATGGTTTAAGCCCCTTCCCATCAACACCTCATATCTCACAGCTAATCGTAAACTCTTCGCCACTTGTCCGAAAGGCCGCCATCTGTCTTCCACGAAGGAACGCTGATATCCTCTAAATGCACAGATTTTATAAATCACCCCCAAACAGAGCAGGACACAGCCCTCGGGGTTGGTTAATAGACCCGCACGGTGTTCCTGGAACTTCATTCACGACGGTAGGCGGCAGCGATGTGAAAATTGCTATAAATACCTTTACGTAACTAAGCTTACCGACTACAAAAGCTCTGAGCACTCAATGAAGCGCTAGGATCAGAAGGGGGTTGAAGTGTATTGTATGTCTATTGTGTGTAAAGCATATTGCAGAGTATACTTAGAAATCTCGAATCAATCCAGCCCCCTCGGTTTAAGTCCCGCACGTAAAACACTCACCTCGAGCTTGGCACTGGATATCCACGCTTTTCTCCACCTCTCCCATCATCTTTCTCCTGGGCTCAGCGGTGAAATAGGGCGCCTCTGCAAAAAGCAAATAAGCTTATTTGAGAACACAGTGACATTTCTCAACTGAATACAAAAGAATGACGTTTTTCGAGGTATTGAAATTCATAAACAGCTTCAGAAATAATCGAATGATTCCGTCAGAGGAATTCAATGTATTTTCTTAAAAACGGTATTTTCATTGAGCGCAGATGGGCGTGGGACAAATTGATTCCCTTTTCTGTAGCAACTGAACGTTTACTGGAGCAAAAGTAATGAATTCATAAACACTGTCAAAATTGAAATGCTCGGCTTGTGGGCTTAATGTGGTCACGTGTCTTCGGCAGTCAGACATGTGGAAGCGTCCCATTAAGACTGAGAGCACTGGTGGGCATGTTTCGTTCACTCGCCTAATGCACAACGTCCTCTACTGTAATGTTTGGACTTCCTGCAGAGGCACAGATGGCCACTGAGACTTCACTTTCTCACAATACTGCAGTCTTACATTATAGATTTCATGCTTATAAAACATCTGTTATGAGTCTGTAATGAGGAAAATCTGCCATTGATTATGTTCACATTATACTGTAAACAGATCTGTATGAATGCTGTTTTGTTTTAAAGGAACGGTTCATCCCAAAAATACAATTCTGACAATCATTTATTTATCTCCATACTGTTACAAGTCTTCTGTAGAAAACTGAGGGAAATATTAGTCAAATTGTTCACACTGCACTTTTACACATGCAGTCCATATGACTTCCAAGTCATGTAAATTCATATCACTGCTAAACAAATGTGCAAAATCGTACCTTTAGGGGTACAACAGCTTGTCACTTGGACAGTATCCCTTAAAGGGACGTTTTTGTACCTTATTTATCTCTAAAAGGTTCATAGAAGCAGCTTAAGGATACATATTACTACTCTATGGTACTAATACACACCTTTTAGGATTAAATAAGGTACAAATGTGTCCCTTTTAGGGTTCTGTCTCAATGACGAGCTGTTAAAGACACCTTTTTTCTGGCAGGGGATATTTTTGTGAGACGGAAGTCAGAAATTTAAATGTGATGATTTATTTGTTAATGTTAAAGTACATATTAATGTAAGACATTACAGTCAAAACCGTTGTTTTTTTTAGGTTTTTTTTTTTTGGCACTGGTCAATTTTTCGGTTTTGGGCTATTGCTTTCATAACTTGTCGCCTTTCAGGAAAGAAAACATTCAAACTACACATAAGTCTTTATTTTATCATACTTTATCTATTTGCATCTGTACAATTTCAATGGACTCTGTGCACAAGCGTAGCGATGAACTTCCGCTGTCGCCAGAAGTCGGGATATCAGTTTTCATACGGTTTTCATTCGTGTCGCCCAAAATGTCAGTATTTTCTAGATGTCTCCGAGATCTACAAGTAAGAATCAGCGATGTCCATCGTATCGTTAATGCCCGGTTCCCTGCTCCAATACGCAAGCGAAACAAGGAATTCAAACGCAATATATCGAGTTATGTGCACAAATAGTTTAATCTAATGTGTTATTTCGGCATCTAGCGGCTAAGCTAGTTAGCGACATGCTCATTTTAGAAGCTTGTCTTTCTCAATTTTAAACGCAGACAGTTCGTTTTTTTTTTTTTTTTGGGGTGATAATTGTATTATCACTTGTGTTAAACTTCTCCCCCTCAGTTTTTAATAAAGATCAGGGCACAGGTGAAGTCATTGGTCATTGTGCTACAGGTCCATTTAAGAACACTTTAGCAAACTTATTATGGAAATAATTTAAAATAATATACTTAACTGTAACAAAATGTGATGCTTTTGGACACTTAATTGCACGTTAATTGCAATTAAATGAAAATGTGCACTTTTGTTGATGAGAGTCAACAAATGAGATGAGAGTTAGAATGCGCGGCTGATGTTATTGCCTGTGCCGCTGGTAACAAAACGGATCGGCTCGAAATCGGAAAGAAGTGAGACTGACCGACTGATTACCGATCCGGGCCGATCATGAGGAAAATCGGCCGATTCCGATCCCTGGCCGATCGATCAGTGCATCTCTAGTCACCACCATTATTATGATCACATTATTAAATGTATTAGAAGTGTATCTGTTTCTCTTTTCCACGTATGTCCTGACTATGAGCATTTGATTTCCATTGGAGATTTGATATTTTTCCAGTTTTATGTTCGTTCATTGTTA